ACACACATAAGAACACATGCATACAGAATTCTAGATGGAAACCCAAACTGTTAGTAGTTATTATTGGTAAGTGGCAAGATAAGAGATTCACTGTTATATATATACATAGTTATATACTGTAAAATATCTATTTTTGTAAGGAAACATTCCATATTTTTAAAAATACATATAATTTTCAATACTGGGACAGAACCTGGGGCAGAGTATCACAGAGCTATTTTTCAGACAGAATCTCACTAATTTGCCAAGGCTGACCTTGAACTTGCAATCCTCCTGCCTCAGCTTCCCAAGTCACTAGGATTATGGGCATACACTACTATATCCAGCTACAATTTTAAAATTAAAAAAAAGTAAAAGGATAAGTGAAAAATTGATACAGTACAAAGTTAAAAGTACTTAAAATATTTAAAAGTTAAAAACATAACTAATACTCTTATGTGAAAAATCTGAAATATTTACAAAAAAATAGACATTTCTCAATAGGCAAACAGTACCTTATAATTAAATGGGCAAGTTAATACAGCAAGAACCCAATAACATACAAGAAGAATTTTTAATATTTGCAAAAGAACAATAAAAATGATGACAATATTTATAAAATGTCAAAAGTACAAAAATTTTAATAAACAGGTTAGTCCAATCAAGTTAGTAAAGTGTTTCAGTTTATTGCTTAGGATGTAAAACAAAATTACTCATTCATGGCTCAATGAGGTCAAGTACTATCAGTTGGCACAATCGTTCGAGGTAAGAGTTCCACATTATATATCAAGATTTTAAAATGTCCATATATGTTGATGTGGCGAGTAAACTTACAAGAATCTTCTGAAAGCAAACAGTTGAAAATGCAGCTAAAATTCTAAGGAAATGAAACAACTCAAGTGCTCCCTCTGTTGGGAAATAATCTGAAACTAAAATCTGACATCTGGTGTTTTCTGTGATAATAGCATGATATTGACTAAAGGTCTGATAGTCCTGTGGCAAGCAATGCGTTTTAACTGTGTTTAAAACCTAAAGCCATTTGGAAATAGGTCTGTGAGTGAAAGAAAAAGTTTCATATAAACTCCTAAGAGGAATTGTTAGACATTTGCTGTTCTTTTCATAATTTTTCTTCTAATTACAAGAGAAGGAATAAGGGGAGGTGAAAAAAAAGTTCCCTCAAGGAAAAAACATGTCACCCAAGAAGTGCACACAATTGAAAAAGGGCTGGGACATTTACAATACCAGCACTGCCAAAGTGGGTAAGGAAAAGAGGAGAGGTGAGCAGTGGCTGTTCTCTCTTTCTTACCATATTCTTTGGTCGTAGCGCAAGGCCAAGATCAGAGAAAGCAACGGTCTCTTAGCACTTGGGTTTTATAATTGGAACTAAGTTTGAGAATCTTGGGCAGTTAGATACTTGGGAAAAGTGAACTGGGGTGTCAATTCTAGGTACAATAATGAAGAAAAAAGCCCGTCTGTATTTTATAACTCTAGGCTATTTTCATTTTCCCACATTGAATTTTAATGCAACCATCATAGGCAGGAAGGAAAAAATAATCCTTGTACTCTGAGTGTGCTCTTCCATCACACCTTTTTAGAGATAAAGAATACCAAAACTTTAGGTGTGTTAGAGACAACGTATAGAAATTTAATATATAACTATTTCACGTCCTTTCTCACAATTGAAATCACAAACTTGATTAAAAACACAAAGAGAATCAAATGATATATTATTTGATGAGACTCTATTATAGTGGATACGTTAATTTCCACCCCAAATCACACTATCTTGCTCCCAAATTTTGAGAAGATTAAATTCTCAGTTGTTCCTTTTATTTTGCCTCATTAGTATTATATATCACAATAATGAGAGTGAAAACTCATTATTGCTAAAATACCTAGCAGTTTACAAAAGCTAGTGGACATCCATTCTGGACAGACACAAGACAAGTACATATCTCAGGAGAGCTGAGTGTGTTACCTTTACTGACTCCTTTTATTATCACTCCTGGCCACAGCTGCATCATAAAATACTTGGTGCTGTTTACCAAGGGGTCATCTCTCCCCAGTAAAAGCCATTAAACTGCTTTCAGAATTATCTGCTTATCATTCCCTCTTTACTGTCACAGTTAAATCTCAAATAGATTATGCATATTTTTCTGCAACTGCTTTGCCTTGTTTTGAATCTCATAACTTTTACATCTTTTCCATGTTAGCAAGCATAGCTTTCTAGGATTCCATGGAATTTCATTGAAGTTATACTATATATATTTAATCAGTGAACTAATTCACACATTTTAATTTTGCCTTTATGATGATGTAATGGATAACCTTTTGTATTAATCTTTGTACACTTTCTATCATAACAGGAAGACAAATTTTTAAAGGTGGTATTGTTAGATCAAAGGAATGTAATCTATTATTTCTATTATAATTTTTATTTCTTTATTTTTATGTGGTGCTGAGGATCGAATCTAGTGCCTCATGCATGGTAGGCAAGCACTGTACTACTGAGCCACAAACTCAGCCCCCAGGCTTGTTTTATATTCATGAATATATATTATTGCACTATAACATGCATACAGACAATTGCGTCATCATTTAATATATTGAAGAGCTTTCACAAGGTGAACACACCTGTATAACCCATCCAGGAAAATAATAAAAATATTAACAAAAATCCAGAAGCCACATTCATATCTTCTTCTACTTACTATCCTTCTCACGAATAACTAATTCTTGACTTCTAAAGCCAAAGGTTAATTTTACCTGGTTTGAGATTTTATATAAAGAGAATCACATAATTTGTAATATTTTCTGTCTTCTTTTTAGTATATGTATTTAAAATATTTGATAGTGCAATGGAGATCTCTCATTCCTCATGTGTTGGACTCTCAGAATAATTTCACACCATTGACCATCTCTGTGTGTTGACATTTTTCTTCTGTCTCTTTCATGGCAGTCATTTCCTGGCATTCCTCCTATCTTCTGACTGATTCTTTTATTACAGAGTCTTTTCCTTCACTTGCCTTAAATATTTGATTTATTCAAGGTCCAGTTTTGGACAATCTCAGTCAGACTTCTAGCCATTGTTACCATCTACACCCATTGTCTCCTAAATATACATTTGTATCCCAGAAAACTTCTCTGAGCTTAAGACTCAAATATTCATCTTTTTTTAAATTTTTTTTAGTTGTATATGGTCTCAGTGCCTTTATTTGTTTTCATGTGGTGCTAGAATTGAATCCAGTGCCTCACACTTGTGAGGCAAGTGCTCTACCACTGAGCTACAACTCCGGCCCATGAAATATTCATCTTGATCTCATCTGTTGCATGTTTCAGAACTCTAAATTCCCAAACTGAGCAAACATTTTCCTGTTCCCAAATTTCCCAGACCTGGCACTGTTCCAGTGTTTCTGATCTCAGTGGAAAAATATCACAAGCTATAGGTTTCACAACATAGAAGTCCAGGAGTCAACTTGACATTTACATCTCACTATGCCCTACAGCCACTAAAATTACTAAGTCCTGGAAACTTGTTCTCCTGAATAGCTTGGGTAACTGTGAACTTTCACTATTTTCATTGAGAACATTCAAATGTAAGCTACTATTTGCTTAGATGATAGCCTCCCAATTAATTTCCAAACAAATTATACTCTGGTTAAAACTCTTCATGGGTTTATATATCACATTGAATAATTTCCTTGAATCAGCAAATAAAGCCCGGTTTTGACCTGGTCACTTCCTACTTCTTGAGTCTCCTTTCCCTCCACCCCATTGTTCTTCTCTCCTTACTCTAAATATTTCTTCACACATTCCTTAAAAGGGTTTGAAATAGGCTTGAAAGTTGAGAGATTCTACCCAATGTGGCTATCTGGAAGAGAAAAAAAAGAAAAGAAGATGATACATGCAATTTGATAGAAAAAAGGTTTTTTTTTTTTTTTTGTTGTTGTTGTTGTTTGTTTTTTCAAATATGTGTTCCATTTGGGGGATGAAGATGGAGGTGGAAAATTCAGAAAATAATGAGATAAAGGATAATCACCTTCAAAGAGTTTCAAGCTGTTTAAGGGGCCAATTAACATAATGACTAATAGTACAGTGTAGTTGCATGGTTTAGAGTCTGACAAACTCAGGTCATGGTTATGACTCAGCCATTTAAAGCCTGCATAACTTTTGGTGAATCACAATATCATTAAGCCAAAACTCTCACAATAAGAGACTGCCTCATCGGTCACATGGATTAAGCTATGTATATCTAGTATTTGGTTAAGTTAACAGAGTTAAGTGTTAAATAAGTGGTAGGAAAATTATCATTAAAAAATGTCTATAATAGTATTGTCGTATATTAGGCAGGAGTAACTCAAGCTTAATCAATGCTTAAGATAATAAGCATCCCAGGGGCAAAAATTAGACCATGTTCTCCCAAGAGGTTTATGGACTCCTATTATTTGGTGCTCCTCCCTCTGACACCAAGGACAAGTTTCTAGGTAACCACTGACTCAGGATGAACTAAACATATATGCACTCTCAAGGAGTCTTATTGTTTATTAAAATTTACTCAGTGTAAATCAGTTTGTTTTCCTTTCTCACAATAACCACACAAAATTTGGACTTACCCTTACCTTTGTGGTCAGGATTTGGTGACTCCTATGAGAATAAGAAAACAAGCTTATATGGCCTATATGGCCAAGTCAACTTCAGCCAGTCTAGATAAATCCAACTGTTGTGTTTACACCTGCTTTTATTATAAATGCAGGACACAGCTTATGAGGTTTATCTCTTCCTTTACTGTCCTTGAAAAATACACATATATGAGCAACTGAAACCCGAAGAAAAAATAAACAATGTTGGCATAGGAGAATAAATTATTAATTTAATTATTTAAGCATTTATATTTCCTTTAAGAAAGGATATACAATTTAATTAAAAGAATGACTGAAATCAAAATTACAGAGTTTTGGCTTTGCCTTCAGCACTGATTGTATAGAGTACAATCTTGACAAAATCATTTATTTTCCCTGGACTTCAAATCCTCCCTATGTAATAAGAGGGTTAAATTGTATTATCAAAATTCCTGTGTATGTGTGTGTGTGTGTATATCTATACTTATATGGCATTTGTATACACACATATGTACCAATAAGGAATATTAGTCTTTTAATGAAAAAGCATATTACAAGTAAGGGGGCCAGATAGAGGATGGATAAGTTCTACTCCTACATTGCCATCTGTTTATAGCATTAAAATCCCTACATTTTCATCCATCCAAGGCAACTGAGAAGTGGGAACCTATTGGAAATGCAAATTCTCAGGCCCAACACTATATTTACTAAATCAGGAACTGTGGAGGAGGGACCGGCCATCTGTGTTGCAACTTGCCCTCCAGGTGATTCTGATAAACACTAAAAGGTGAGAACCACTGCCTTTGAACATTCCCAGAGGAGAACTATTCACTAATATCATAGGCATAAGCAGAAAGCCAACAATTAAAGGGGAAAATGCAGGACACTTAACAGAAAACTCGGAGCAGAGGTGGTAGAATAGAGGTTAGTGAGACATAGCAATGAGGGTCAAGGAAGTTTCATGATTGCAGGGAACTTGGTATGGTTGTGAAAATACAGAGCAGAGGCCCAAACAACTATCCACATGCTCCTGTGTTAAATCATTATTTTTTCTCATGCAATCATTTTTGCCTATATGCTAAGACCTGCTGGCTTTAGAAACTTCTTCCCTATAGTGAATTCTACAGAAGAAAAAACTTCCTCTTTTCTTAGCCACAGCTGTACTCCTGTCAACTACAGTTATATACAGTAGAAACCTGAGGCAAGATTAGCCAAGACTTCTCAGATGATCCTGCACATCTTCTCCAGCCTCTTATCACCAGGTTTATTTCTCCTCTACTGGCAGCTTAGAGAGTGTGTTTGGGAAAGCAAGAAAATTTCTGGAGTGTCACTGGGCTAAAGGTGAGCTTGGTCAGAGAAAGGTTTGGGGGTAAGAATAAGCCTATGAAAACGACAAGGCAAGAACTCAGCATGGACACTCTTGAGAAGACTTATAGATGCCATGTTGTCATCCAGAACATTTCCCTGAGAGGGGAATCCCCGGCTTTGCAGCTTCCTGGCCAGCGTGATGGCCACCAGCCGGCTATAACCTTTCCTGCGATGATCCGGCAGGGTGTAGCCATGGCACATGGTGGCAAACTGGTCTGTGATAGACCAGGATACCGGGTTTCCCTTGTCATCACGGACACACACACTGGGGAAGCAGGAGATGAGTTTGGCAATGTACCGGAGACACTGCTCATTGCCGCCCCTTGACCAAGTGCGGTTGAGGAGATCAGCATCCGCAACACTCAGATAGGTGAGTCGCGGGGAAGACCCCATTCTAAAAGAAATCAAGATGAAATAACGCATGAGCTCAGGATTCTGTGACAATAAATAATCAATTTTCCCATACTGATTTAATTGAATTGGCCAAAAAATAAAACCAAGTTTCTTAATATGCCAGGCATATGTACATACTCTGGAAATGTTAGCTCTTCTAGGTCTCATCTTAAGCTGCTTTTCTCCAGATTAAATATTCTCATTTTTTTCCAGCGTTTCCCTTTTTTTATGGACTGCTACTGTGCACTACATTGATTCCAATGATATATAAGTTTCTAGGGGTTTACTAGAATACTACATAAAACCTCTGCTAATAAGATAAAGTGAGTGGTAAGATTTTTTAAGAACTGAGACAAATTACACAGTTGAAAGCCTATGAGGCTGATTGTGTCTTGGAATTTGACTTCATTTTTGAATTTATCAACATCATCAAGACCATTCTCAGTGAACATTAAGAGACTGATGATATAGTTCTTGCTATGATTTTTGTAAGTACAATTTCATGGTATTTTTCTTAGAAGCTATATAGTGTTAGCTCACATTTTAGACATGCTGTCAGCTATGGCACTAGACCATTCATTAAGTGTGGGGAAAACCAATTTTATAGGATTTCAAATCAATTTTAAAAGTGAACTTCAAAGCAAGAACAAAGAATTCTCAGACAAAAATGTTGCTGCACACAAAAACATTGCCAAGGCCCCTGACAAGGAACAGTTATGTTAGAGATTCTGACCTGCTGTCTACAGGGCAGAGCATTCAAAATGGAGTCCACAAGTTTGGGTAATGATTTATATATTAAAGACAAAAAGTCATTACTAGAAAAAAACACAGGGGATAAGCTCATGACATTTGAATGAGCAAGAATTTTTGAATAAGACTTCAAAAGCACAGGAAAGAAACAAATACACAAATGGGATTATACCAAATTAAAAATCTTCTGCATAGCAAGGGAATAAATGAAAAGAATAAAGAGACAATCTTCAGAATGGATGAAACTATACATCTGTTAGTTTGTATCTAGAATATAAGTCAAAAAACTCAAGAGAAAAATACCGAAATAACTCAATTTAAACATAGAAAATAAACCTAAATAGACATTTCTCAAAATAAGACATGCAAATGGCAAACAGGTATGTGGAAGAAACGCTTACCAATATGAAAAACTCAAAAGATAACAAGTGCTGGTGAGCAGGTAGAAAAAGGCAACCCTTAGCGTTGGGGGGAATGTAAATTAGTCAGCCATTATGGAAAATAGTGTGGAAGTTCCTCAAAAAGAAAAATAGAACTGTCATCTGATCCAGTAATCCCACTCCTGGGTATATATCCAAAGGAAATAAAGTAAGTATGTAAAAGAGAAATCTACGCTAAGAAACGGAACCAACCTAAGTGTCCTGATAAATGGATAAAGAAAATGTGGCATCTATACACAACAAAATACTAGTCAGCCACAAAAATGGATTAAGTCATATCATTTGCAACAACATAGATGGAACTTGAAGAAATAATATTAAGTAAAATATGCTAGATACAGAAAGACAAATATGCTAGGTACTGCATGATTTCATTTACTGAAAGAATCTAAAGAAATTGATCTTAAAAAAGAACAACAGTGGTTACTAGAGATTAGGGAATGTAGGGGAGAGTACCATTTTTTTTAAAATGAATTCTTATGATTTAGAGATACATATTAAATTATTTAAGGATATAAAGATAATATTTATTTCATTCCCTTAAAATAATCCAGATGGTGCAAAGATGTGTAGGGATGTGTATTAAATAAGACTATCTATATATTGGTGGGCAGTTCTTTACACTATTGTCTCAATTTTTGTTGTATATTTGAAATTTTAATAGTTTAAAAAACAGTAAAAAGAAAGTCCATTTGTTTTCCTGTGACTTAAAGTGTCTGTTCTTCCCTAGGTTTAGTCTTGTCACACTCAATAATTCCTTCCATATGTATCATAGAAGAAAAGGAAATTAACAGTCATCAATATGGGTACTTTTCAAGCACCTTGTTTCATTCGTTTACAAAAACAATGTGAAGATGATATTATGTCCTAATTCTTGAGGAAAAGAAATTAAGGCTCAGAAAGGTTAAAATGAAGGAACGGCATTTAGTAAATGACAAAGCAAGAACCTCAAAGTAGGAGAAAATAAGAACAAATGCAGGTACAAACTAACAAATGGTTTCAAATATTGCTTTATGGAGCTAGATTTCTTTGGATTATTTCCTGGTTCTAAAATTTACTTCTATATATTACTTAAAATCTATTAAAAATGGAATACTCCTCCTACTACTACTACTACTTTATAGGCCTGTGGAAAGGATTAAGGGGAGATATATTTTAAAACTTTAATGCTATATACTTAAAATCTCAACAAAGTTCATTATATACCCCTTTCCTAAAACAACAAAAACAATCACATGTTTTTGGATTCAGACAAGAGAGATTATTTAGAATTATGTTGGGGAGGAGAACACCAAGGATTGAGTTTTCTATGTGCACTATGAAAATGCAGGTATTCTGCAGGCACAGTGGCACATACCTGTAATCCCAGTGGTTTAGGAGGCTGAGGCAGGAGGACTACAAATTTAAAGCCAGTCTTGCAACTTAGGAAGGCCCTAAGCAACTTAGTGAGACTGTGTCTAAATAAAAGATGAAAAAAGACTGGGGATGTGGCTCAGTGTTAAAGTGTCCCTGGGTTCAATCCCTGGTACTGAAAAAAGGCAGGGGGGGGGGGTGCAAGTCTTTTGAGTTCATTTACAACTATGGACAGAGACCCTTATATATTTTCAAAGAAATTATGAACACTGAAGCATGAGGGAGAGGGAAAGAGTAAAACACACACACACGCACACACACACACACACACCAATCAAAGGTGTTCATACAATAATCTAATACAGAAATGGTAAAGATATAAAATGTATGGATATAGGTTTGTTCATATGTGTGTATACACACACACACACACACACACACACACACTTTTAGTATAATGGTCCAAAACCAAATGTTTAAATATTCCTAAATGATACCAAGAGCTCCAGTTTTTACTGTCTGGTCGTTCACAGCAGTTAAATGCTACCCCAAATGCAGAACTTTGGTTTACATACAGGAAACTGGTATCTGGCAGAGATGAAACAGGAGAAAAATGAACAGCCTTGAAGGAAGTCAGCTTTATATCCAATTGCTTTGAATTGGCAACAGCTTTAGAAGCATCATATAACTCACTCTGTAGCCCTGTGGAAAGACAAACAAAAAAGGTGAGCATTTTATTTGAAAAAGCAAATTGCTCCAGTGTTTATATACTGAACATCATCAATACCACCAGTTTGCTACCTTGTATTATCCTAAGCTTACTACACACACACACACACACACACACACACACACTCACTTATTATGGCTATTCTCTATCTCATTTTTGATTATTTTTTGGAGAATTTTTGAATTCTCATCACATTGCCACCACCATAACCTTTCATAGAAAGTTCTGTTGGAAATATCCCATGAGAATTTGGAATTTTGTTGTACAAATTTTTATTTGTTTTTTTATTACTTGGACAGATCTAAACTCCTTGAAATAAGGTACAATGTCTTGTAGCTCTAAAAATCTACAATTGACTATTAAACTAGAATTGTAAGAGTTTAGATTTGTTTGACAAGTTAACTTTAAAGTTTCTCTTCCAGCCTGTTGCCAAATTCTCCATTATGGTATTTAAGGTGTAAACTGAGTGTTGGTGAGATTTATCCTGAACTTTCTCAGATCCCACTTATTTATTATAGCTATACTGTAGTACCTTTATTCTGTACTTTTTAGATTTAAAGCACTGTGCTCAGGCACTGCTTCACAGTGGTAGAGAAAATTGTATGGTCCTTCTTTGTTCTTATATAGCTTATAATGAGTCCTCTCTCCACCTCTCCAACTCCCCAGTACTCCATTCTTTCCATTCTGAATCCTGATTAACTATATTCTCTGGAAATCCTTCATCCTTCATTTCCTAATGGCTTGTTCCCTCCCCTCTTGTGAGCCACTTCTCAGTGTGGCCTTGAAACTTCTTGAAAAATACATAAGTGGGAAGCTATATCCAACACAGTGTGGTATCTGAGCCTTGGTTCCACACTAGAGAGTTTAGCCTTAGAGAAGATAAGAAGGTTTCAAGTTGATGCCATTAAAATTACAAATGCTATGATAGCATTTAATATTTTAAAACTCAAGTTACATCTAAATAATTTGAAGGGTTTCCTATGAGAAAAAAAATAGGCAGCACCAGTCAAAGGTGTTCTTAAAATAATCTAGTATAGAAATGGTAAAGATATAAAATGTATGGATATAGGTTTGTTCCTATGTGCGTATGTCTGTATCATATATATATATATATAATATATATATATATATATAATATATACACACCCACCCACATCTGTGTCATACACACACACACACACACACACACATACATACAAAATACCTATTTATATATCTCTGATATATATGATAAAAGTGGGAAAGGAAATGACTGCATAACATATGTCTTGCATATGACCTCACCTTGTATTTGAAAAACTTGGTTCCAGTTAATGACATCATGTTCTTCCAATAGCTGTTGGTAAGCCCTGACATCCTTGTAGAACACAGCATAGGCATTAGTATAATGGTCAAGGTTATCTGTCTCAGCCTAGGACAAAAGACACAATCATGAAAACATGAACATATCATCTGGATAACCTAAATCCTAGAGAGCTTTGGTATCATTAGCTAGGCATGCCTATCTAATTTTCTGTTACAAAAATTAATCACCTAAAAACGCTAAAATGAGAATGAGGCTAATGTGCTGCAATGTAAAGAGAAATAGTTTTCTTGATTCTTGATTTCTTTTTCTTGATTCTTTTGTGGGGGGATTAGAGAGGTTTCAAGACATTTATTTTACATTTTTTGTCAGATTTTATTTATTTTTGAAAGTAAATAGGGGTCAGGTATAGTGATATACACCTATAATACCAGCTGATGGAAGCTGTCGGGAGGCTAAGGCAGGAGGATTACCTAAGGTCTTGAGTTTGAGTTTAGGTTGCACAACATAGGAACAGTATTACAATTTTGTGTGGTGTGTGTGTGTGTGTGTGTGTGTGTATTATCTGAGTCTTGACTTCTTGCTCAGGGAGTTCAACCTCAGAAAAAGTAAAGAGTCTCAAATTAATGCTATTAAGGTTATAGATGCTATGGCTGGCATCCCAAATTATAAAAGTGAATTACATCTAAGAAAGTCCAAGGTTTTTCTGAGAAAAAATTATATATTGTATATGCAATATATATTTAATATATTTTTATATAAAATATTATATCATGTATATTATTACATAATATATTACTACATAATGTATATTATTACACAATATATTATTGCATAATATATAATACATAATTATATACATAATATATAGTATATACATATATTTAATATATGAAATATATAATATATAGCTATATATTATATATATAAAGGGCAAAACTCAGTGAATACATCTCTAAGAGTCAAAGTTCATGAATCTTCCTAATTTGGAGGACAGCATGGACTTAATCACTTTAGCTTCACTGGGTCTCAGAGGCAGAATGGGGCCAAGTGTTTAGTCTTCTTCCGTATTTATCCCCATGACCAAAGTCATCCGTCATAAGGAATCATCCATACAGAAGAAGCCAGTATGTATGTGGCCATGTGTGCTTCATACTTCTAGAGATGAAGAAGCACTAAGGAAACGCTTTTAGACTAGAGGTCTTCCATAAGCCTGACACTCTCAAACCAGTCACATTAAAAAGTTATGGTGCTGTTTTGAACAACCAATAATAAAAAAAAAAAGTTATGGTGGAAAAAAAAAATGGGCTGGGGTTGTGGTTCAGTGTTAGAGCACTTGGCTAGCAAGTGTGAGGCACTGGGTTCAATTCTCAGCACTGCATAATAAATAAATAAATAAATAAACAAATAAATAAGGTATTGTTGTGTCCATCTACAACTAAAAATTAAAAAAAAAGGAATGGTGAACCTGGCACAGTATTATAGTGAACACCTATAATCCCAGCACCTTGTGAGTCTGAGGCCGAAGGATCTCAAGTTTCAAGCCAACCTCAGCAATGGCGAGGCACTAAGTAACTCAGTGAGATCCTGTCTCTAAATAAAATACAAAATAGGGCTGGGGATGTGGCTCATTAGACAAGTGCCCCTGAGTTCAATCCCCAGTACCCCCTGCCCCCCCCCCCCAAAAAAAAAAAACTAACGGTGAACTATGTAGTATATCAAGATAATATATATGACTACTAAGGTCATGCTAGTCCCTTTACCTAATCTATTTTTTCCAATTGATACCAATTCTTGTTTTCATTTATTTGCCTTTCAAAATTTTACCTCTCTCTGTCTTCGGGTGATAACAGCTTTGAAGTCTGGCCATGAATCTAGTACCACTTCCTTTTGAAAGGGATTCCCACGATTTATGTTCATCACTGCTCCATAAACCTGAGCCAGAGAACCAAGACGGACAAACCAATCTCAATACCATCTGTTTCAATTGCATATTACACTCTTTTGTTCCAGTATATAATCATGGCCATTAGAGGGGAAATTAAAAATATATTCACAGACAAATACATTATATACACATATAAATTTCTTTACTGTTATCAGGGCACATGAAAACTGGTAAAAAGTCTACTAAAGCCTATGAAAACTCTCCCTAAACCTAGCTTTTACAGTGCAACAGTGAAAGGGTCTTAAGTTGATAGACTTACTAGGTGAGACTTGCCACAGATTGCTGAATAAACCAGAATCTTATGGCCTATACATATTTTAAAAGTCCCACAGATATTCTTAATATTTAGCTGATTTTGAACATACTATTCTATCCAAAAATAACTTGTAAAATGCAACTACTCATTCAAGCCTGAATAACAGGCAAAACAAACCCAAATTAAAAATAAAAATTTGCATTTATTTCAGATTTGATGGAGCAAGGCTTTGTAAACATTCCTTGAGAGACATATCTGGGTCTCATTCAGTATTTTATTGATGGAACCTGAAGTTACTGATGGAATGTTTGGTGACTGAACAGTACTGGAGCAATATTAGAATGTGCCTTTCACATTTTTTTTTTCTCCACTAAGAAAAATATCTGTCCCAAGAAACATGTGTGTTTATAAAGGAGGGGAAAAGATAGTGGTAGGTAACAAGGACTGCTGAGTTATGGGAAGAGGTTCCTAGCACTTTCATTAAAAAATAAAAATGAGAAACTAAATATCCATCAATGAGGAAATGAAGAAATACATTTTGACATATTTATGCTATAGATTACAAAACAGTAATAAAAGTGAATAGACCAAAGCTACATGGAATCACTATGAATCTCACACAAAAATGTTGTGCAAAAAAGCTGAGTATTTAAAAAAATTAACAAAAACCACTTTTTGTGTGATTTAATTTATTTACATCCCCAAACAGTGAAAACTAAATCATGGCTTTGGAAGTTGTCCAATTTTAGGGAGCAGGGAGAGGTGGTGGTCAAATGGAGCAGTGGGAGTTGAGAAGCAGCCTCTGAAGTAAATGTTCTTTCTCTACCAGAGTGGATGTTACATAGGTATTTGCTTCACCAATATTCACTGAGTTGCGTAATTACATTGTGTGCAATTTGTAGAATGTATTGGACTTCAGTGAAACATATTTAAATTAGTGAAAAATATTTAAATTGTAAGGGGTTTGGAACCTACATTTTACTTCCATTATCATGACCTGAACCCAAACCACACACCTAATTCACTCACCTTTTCTCAGTCTAGAACATTATACAACTTTCTTCTGTTTTACCTAATCTGGAATCTCCCTTGAATATGCTCACAGAGTGTGTCTTTCCGTATTGAGTGTGGTTTATATGAATGTGTAACTTGGATCATTCGGAGTGCAAATCAAAGAACCAAAGTAACCTGGAAGGGTAATTCTTATTCAGTTAATCATTAAATTCTGCAAATACCTGTCTTACATGTACACAATGATGTTTACTAAAATGATGTCATGTAAGGAGACTATATATCCTTATTGAAGAATGTAACCTAATTATGATTGGAATGTTCAAAAGGCTAAAAGGGAAAATCTCTTTTAGTATTCAAATTCTGAAAGAAAAAAAACTTGTTTGTATATGATTTGGAAATAACTGAAAGATCTGGCATTGGTAAAAAACAAACAAGCTCTTCTAATAGCTGGTGATTTAAAGGGTGAGTGTTGAGTGTGGGGGTTGCCTAGGAGGAAGTAAAGTTGTTGGGCAATCAGCAGTTAGAGCTTAGAAGGAAATTTAATCAAACACTAAGCTGAGGTCATAATACACATAGCCATAATCTCTGTAGAATTGAGGAAGGGTGAACAAATAAAACTACATTTACTTCAACTTTTTAATTCTCAAACATCTTTTAGGACTCCATGAAGGTCACTGAGGCCTTTTTAATTATCTCTGGAAGAAGAGCTAGCCAGATATATTATTAGAGCAAAAAAGCCTACTAGCTTATTGCATTAATTAACTTCAGTGTCAGTATTAAAAATAGGAAAATATAGATCTGATTGAAAGAGGAAAATCTTTTAATATTCAGATTCTAAAAGTAAAATTTAAAAAGCAAAACTTCTTTGTGTAAGATTTGGAACCAATTGAAAGATTAGGCATTGGTAAAAAACATTCTTCCAGTAGCTGCATATTCAAAGGATGAGTGATGCTGAATGCTTTTTATAGTACTTTTTCTGATTTGGCAGCCATGTAATCTCAAATTATTATTGGATATTTCCTACCACATGCATTTTAAGAACTATCAATAAGGCAAGATGACCAGATTTAATTAACACAGTACCATGCACCAGGGGACTCCAGTTAGACCCCTTTGTTTTAGATTTTAATGAACATAAGAATTATCCAGGGTATTAAAATTTCAGGACTCTGATCTCCATCTTCAAAAATTCAGATTTATTATTTGTTTCCTGAGTGATTTTCATTTCATTCCCATTTGAAAACAGGTTGTACAACTGTCTTTTTGCTCAAGAAACTCAGCCATTCAAAGGCAATTTCATTGTAAATGCTTATAGCAGTTCTTGTTACACTTATTGTAATTTTTTTTAAGTACTGGGGATTGAACCCAGGGATACTTTACCACTGAGTGCCATCCCCAGTTCTTGTATTAGACAGAGTTTAAGATACTGAGTCTGGCCACAAATTTGCAATTCTCCTGCCTTACCTTTCCAGTTGCGGGGGTTACAGGTGTGTGCCACTGTGCCTAGCCACTTATCATAATCTTTTGATTAATGACATCTTCCAAAGTGGCACTGAGTTATCTGTTGGCCCTCCTGGATTTTAAACCACAGGTTTGATGGCCAACGGAATTGCTGAAAAAATTATCAATGCCTAAATTTCAGTTCTATTGTTTACTAAGTTTATGTTCTTTATTTCAGTGCCTTTTAAAACATTTTATTAAGTTAATTTTGGGGGGGGTAACAGGGATTGAACTCCAGGACACTCAACTACTGAACCATATCCCCAGCCCTATTTTGTATTTTTATTTAGAGAAAGGTCTCACTGAGTTGCTTAGCACCTTACTATTGCTGAGGCTGGCTTTGAACTCACGATCCTCTGTCTCAGCCTCCCGAGCCACCATTTAAAACATTTTAAAACTCAAATTTACTTTAGAAATAATGTATCCCAGAATTATTAAATATCCCTAGAAGTCCTCTAGAGTGACTGTCAAAAATCCTCTGGGCCTTATCCACAAACCATTATATCACTATTTGGCAGAAGACAGCTTGGAAACTATGTTTATAAAGCGTGCCCAGAGATCTTAACATCAGGGGGGAAAATGATGTGTGTGTGGTGGGGTGCCACTCCTGACCAGCATGGGCAGCTGAACTTAAGATCACTTGTGTGAATTTGCAGGGACACCAAATAAAACACAGACACAATTTACCTTTATACATCCTGGCTCTCGGCCTCAGGCTCCCCAAAAAGGAGAGCAAGATTAAAGTCACAAGAGGCTGATGAAAGAGGGGACGCGGTTGGAAGTGAGCTTTTATTGGGGGGACTCTTGTTCTTATAAAGTTCTGTCCAAAAAAATGGCAGAAGTGACAGGACTACAGGGACAGGTGAGTGTAACTCAATCCTAGGGGCACATACCCACAAAGAAGACCCCTTACTATGTGAGCTAGACCCCGCCCAAGCTACAGCTAATGTAGTGGTTGGTCAGAATCTAAGGCATCAGGACTGGAAGGTGTGGTCATTCATTGTGACTACCTACAGTTGGGGGACAGCCATGAGGCTTACATTATTTTACAGATTCATGCAATTAAAAGAAAACAACTAATACAATAATAAATTAGTACAATAAAGTTTATAATACCTTGAGTGATTCAGGAAAGTGATTCTTCAATATTTTCTCTAGCATCAGTAATTTGGTAGAACAGTTTAGCACCAACATCTTCTCCAGAACTTTGCAATTCCACACCTAATTTGAAACTTGAAGTTACAATTTAATTTTTGAACCTACTTAGGAATATGCTGGTAGCCGTTTTCCTTGGGTATATTTCTGACTCTGAAGAGGGAAGAAGGAAGAAGGTGGGCAAGCGCTGGGATGAGTAAACTAGAGAACACATGAAAATGGAGATTGCTTCTGACCTAATCCTAGACAGATGAGGCTAACTGTAAACTGGGCTAAATCTCTCTATTATATACATTCAATGTACTCTGAACTCTTCCTTCAGGGCACTGAATTACAATCGTAATTTTATGTTTAATTGTGTTTTCTTTGACATAGGTCTGCCTAAAGTAGCCTGCCAATTTCATGAATTCAGGGTCCCTGATTGTGTTCCACTGTATCTAGAGCTCGTGCCACAAGGCCTTGCAGAGCAGGGACCTTCTAAAAATAGTTACTGCGTGGATAATATGAAACTCAGGGTAAGATTTCTGGGGTTAAGTAGAGAAACTTCTTAACAATGTGGGGCAAAGGCTAGAGAAAGACTTGAGTGGTTTTAAAGAACAAGTTGGAAAGAATCAGATGTGGGCAGAAGCTGTGGCTCATTTAATCAGATAAAATTCTGGAAAGAAAAGGACCTAAATGTAATGCATATAACTTCATCTTTTCTAAGGCAATTACACTTTCCAGATTTGGGAGCTCTACCTCCCCTGATTTGTTCCCAAGAAACCTTTCCCCCAACATTATGAGAGCTTGACTTCATTTAAAAACAAAACAAAACAAAACAACTTTTCTCCCTACAGTCAATGTAAGAGTTTATCCACTTACACTCCTGGCAGTCAGGCACTAGGACGACAAAGATGATTCAGGTAGACACCAGAACCTAATGCTTCTGGGATTTGGGGGAGAGCTAGAATTGTTCCTTCATGACACATTTGCTGGATAAATTGATTTGATTTCCTTATGTGGCATGCCTCTGCAACTATAGGACACCCAGAATGTTTGGCTATGAGCTACCTAAAATCCCCTGTAAAACTCTTCCATGAGGTTTATATGGGTATGAACTTCTAGGCAGCATTCAAATAGCCCTGTTGCTCTAGAGTTCACTGAGTGGTGCACTTAAGGTGTCTTGTTTTCTACAGGAATCAAAGATGTACAAAGGGCCAGCGAAGCACCAGAAAATCAGGAGGCTTTTGAACCCATGTATTTATAGTCTGGGCCAGTATTAGAGTCTTTGAAAAGATCAAGTTTCTAGATTTTTTAAGATGAGCAAATAAAAGGAGAAATGTACCCCTCCTCTCTTTACCCTGGCATCAACTCAAGTTTTCACTCAGTTGTGTCATCTCTAAATAAAACTTTTTTTTGGTGGATATTTGCACTAAACACATTTATTCTAATTCAAAATCTTTTGATAGAAAATGAAATTATTTCAAAGGTCAGTTGCTCATAAATTTCTTAATTTACTTTGATGCCTAGAGATCTTTTTATGCCCTAATACTTAGCAAAGTAGTTAATGCAAAGAGTAGGAATAACAAGTATTTGTTGATGATTTACTGACTTATTACCTGGCTTGTTTCCCAAAGAATGTAAGACCACTTATGGAATAAGTAAAATACATGAAGAAAAATTAAGTTGAAAGCTCAAAGGGAAAATATAGTTACAAAAAGAATATAGATTCAAGAGTGAGGTTAGTTCCATTATTTGAGAATGTTCCTACTCACTAAAATTTATTTCTAACCCACAAATTAATACTTGTAGTGCTTTTACAGTAATTTTAAGACATGCATAGAGCAGTAGAGTTTTTTCTTCCAATACACTTCCCACTAAGGTTGTTCAGGGCATACTCTGCTTTCTTGTTTCTGCCATCAATTACTGTAAACAAGTGTTCTTTTCATGGTCCCTCTGGTACCATTAAAAAAAAAAATTAATGCTTTCTGTTGATTTTGCTGTTTAAAATAGTGTATAAGGGCTAATTTGACATTTCTAAGTTCAAAATGGCTATAATGGGCCTTAAAGACAAAACACATGTAACAGACAAGTTTCACTAACACATCAATTATAATGTTCTCAACCATGAGTTCAATGACAATGAATCAACAATAATGAATCAACAGTAAATATGAAATGATGTATCTTTGAACAAAAGTACATGTAAAATAAGGTTTTGTATTACCTACTTAATGAAACCAGAGGCTTAGAGGAACATAACTTATTATTAGGTTGTTGTTTCAATATTGGCTAGGTCTGTGTTCGACATGACTATCATGAAACAAGAGGACTTTCATATACAATCAGGAATCAACTGTACTTGCAGGAAGTGAGAGCCCACATTTGATTCTGAGCTGTTTTATTATATATCACACAGAGAAATGATCATGCTCAATTATATGATTCAGATGCTCATAAAAATATCATATGCTCTATTTCTTAGCATTTGCTTATTTTTTCACTTATGCCATCTCTAAAGTCCAGTTCTCCAAATTTTTAATAATCAAAACCCTCCTTGATCAGGCATTAATCTACCCCCCTAGACTAAGCTCTTGCAACTCACAAACAAATTACTCAGGGTGACAAATTAAAACAAGAGACATTTCTCCCATGGGTTCACATAAAAGACACTACAGTTAACATTTGAAAATATGCCTTCAGTAAACAGTGACACATTTATGGGATTATGTCACTAAATACAAAGATCTTTTTTTTTAATGACACAAACAGAATGCAGAAATCTTCACAGATGGAGAAAACATTTTTACACATTTTTGAATTATATTAAAAAGTCATAATGACAATTATGAACTCTGAAACCGACAAGATCACCATGTCATACCCTCCCGCTCAACACAGGTTCCGCATAATCAGTATGTGTTCTAAAATTGAAAGGTCAATGTTTGTAACTCCTTTAGCCTAATGCTTACCAAAAACAGACTCATGAATTGAAAGTCTTTGTCAAGAAAAATGGTCATATGCATATCAGTTTTAGGAACTGAAGATTCTTTGGAGCATTTGAAGTGTTCATTAGAGCAAGTACCTGAAATGCTTTTGATTAATATTAATCATAAACATTAGATCTGTTTTTATGGTATGATACAGCATTTACAATACAATGGTGGGTCTTTTAGGAAAAACTTTTCTTTTTAATCACTCACAATTCAATGTTCGTAATTATTTTTTTATATTATAAACGCTTTTGATTCTGAGAGATTACTCTCTATTACTCTAGTTGTGCCCAAATCACAATGCAGTTTCATATTTCATAACACTCATTGTCCTCATATCAAGAAATTTAAAAAGAAAATACAAACAAAACAAAATGTACTTATTCTTTCTGCATAAGGTGGACTTCATCTCTATTTCTCCCGTTCTTCGCTACAAATTATAACCTAATGATTTTACTATTTTAGTAGCGGGGGGGAAAAAAGCTTACCTGCTATTGAGAGTTCAGTCTGAAACTGAAATCTCTTAGCTGTGTATCAGTGCAGTAGCTCCTCCTGTATAAATGGTAAATTTATACTTAAGGCTATTTCCCTAATTAGTGGAAAGAGGGAGGGAAAAAAAAACCCCACACCTGTAGAAGGGGAGGGCTTATGATCTTCGTAAGGTGACAATCATCTCAAACAGAATGTAAGTACTTTTGTTCTACCTCTTTCTATCCCATTTAATCTTAACGGTTTAAAAGCAAGGGAACAGTAATCTTGATTTGGAGATGAATATTTTTAAGACACCATACAACTATCTATTCATCAGGATCTCATGGAAGAGGATAAATATGGAATGTGATACAAGCAAATGAGGAATAAGAAAGTGATATAGAGGTACTGATCTTTGAGGTATTTTTACCTGACAAAATGATTTTGCTGCCCTAAACTTTCAAAGCTGCAAGGGAAAAAATCTCTGGACAGGATACTTGTGGAATTGAGTAATTTTGTAAATTTTAATTCCTTCACCTTATTCTTTGAGAAAGTTTACTTTTCCTAAAATGGCTGCAATCTTAAACCCAGCACAAGTATTTGCTTGGATATCTCAGCACACATGGCAATACCTAAGTTTTGGAATGGTAAGTCATACAAATGTCTCTTCAGCATATGGAGAGTGGTTCAATTTGAATGTGGTCACATGGGAGGATGTTCTTCACTATCTTTATGTTTCATAAAATTAATAGACATTCTCTACTAGAAGATACTAGTAATACATTGGGCAGTTGGTAGTTAAAAGTGACTGGAAAAATTGTTTTAAATATCAATTATGGATCAAAATAAGTGTTTTTTAACCTTGGTGTATTCACAATTTTTAATTTTTAAAAAAACATGTTACTGAGGGCAACACATTTTCCTGTTTGTACTCCTAGAGAACTTATTTTTTTCCTAAATGTTAATAGTAAAATAGATTTAAAATTTGAATAGAAGCTGTTATTTACAGAAAAGAAATGTTATGGTATGAAGTACAATATCCTAGGGAAAACTAATAAATTTAGGGAGGGTAGGATTATTTATGGACTCTGAAACATAAAATAATTTCTCTAAGTTTAGATTACATCCTGATTCCATGTGCATCCAAAACAAACTTCCAATCTTTTTGAAAGTTCTTTGTTCTCTATTAAACATCAAAAATAATAAGAATAGCTCCTCTTTGCTTGAAGGAAAAATAATAAAAAAGACAAAATGTACTTTCCAGGAAAACTGCTTTGGTTGAAGGAAATTAAATTTGAGATAGACTAACTGGGATAAATTGAATTTTTAATTCTGAGATTAAAAGGAAAAAAAACAAAGGAGGTAAATGAAGGTTGCCAATGTCAGATAAATTTAAAGGTATTTTCTTAGGTAAACTCAAGTAACAATAAACCCAGTAATAACAAATTATCATTATACTCCCAAAATACATGATTTTTTTTCTTTAGTAGAATTTACTCATTAGATTCAGTAGCCCCTTCTATGTGTAGCTTAGTAGAAAATTCTTAAGTGTCAATTATTTTTTTTCACTTCCTAGTTCAATCTCTTACTAATTGTGTGATCTTAAAAACAGTTAATTAACCTTTCTGTGCCTCAGTTTCTTCATCTGCTGGAGAAAATAGTGACTACTGAGGTTTAATCCTATAGGGGATTAAAGATTGTAATTAACATTGGTATAAATACATGTATACATGTAATGGACTTAGAACAATTCCTGGCATTCAGCAGGCACTCAATAAACACCAGCCATTTTTATCATTGTTTTTATTATATAGCCCTCTTGTCCCACTTGAAATTTGCATTATTAATTTAAAAAATCTCTTTGGGAGCAAAAATGGGATGAAATAGGCCAAAGCACATTTGTTTTTAAATGAAATGAACCACTCTATAGTGGTTTTATGAATTTAAAAAACATTATCTTTCTCTCTGTACAATATTAAAACATATAACCATCTTTGTTTATGGTTGTTACAACACATTCATAGCCCTATAACAGAAGTTAACAAGGGAAACAAATACTTAGACCAACCAAGAGAAAGCGGTTCTGCCATGGTTTAGAAGTAAAGAAATACATTCAATAGAAGCAACTTTTAATAAGAAAAGCTAGTTAGAACACAAAACAGGCTCAGTCCCTTTAGACATGCTAAAGCCCAATTGAGAAATGTGTTTGTTCTTGCTTTCATTTTTTCCTTTCTCTGAATATTTCTTGATAAATGAAACACGAGTGGATTTAGTCTTATGCTTAGAAACTAAGCCAATGCAAACCATTCAAATACTAATTAATTTTGACAGGTGCAACTGCGTTTTTTGGTAAACAGAGAATGCCAAGAAATTCTATCCAACCAAATAAAAGTAAATCCCTTAATTTTAGGTTCCAGCACAGGTGCCTCGTATTAAACAAAGCCTATTTGCTAGATATGCACAACTAAGAGTTGGGCAAATCCAAGGGCTCATATAAAGAATTTTAAATGATTACATTACACTACAGTCTGTAACACATCCATCGTCTCTCTCAAAAAATTTAAACCAAATTTTCTTCCTTCGGCAGAATTTTACTTTTAGTTGCTTTGCCAGCTTCCTTTCCTGAAGACTTTCTTCCCCTTTAAAATCCATTACTGATCCTCCTTACCATTACTTCCTAAGAGGAAATTGTGTTTGATCCTTTAACAAGGTGTTTCAGGATCCCAAAGATGTGTGGTTGTGCTCATTACAATTAACATTAACCTCAACCTGCTTAACTACAGATGTGTTCCTGGTGGTCTCTGCCTGGAAGATATTAACAGAATTATGGCATCTTCTAAATAAACTAAGAAAAAGATTCTCAGACAGAAAAACAAATGGTAGTTAATTTACTTTACAAACAGATAAAAGAACTGAGACAGTATACAGTATGGCTTAGGAAAGTTTTTTCATATATTTATAGTAAGCACTTATTGACACAAATAAGCTTACTACATAATAAGGACAAGTTTATAAGAAAGGGATTTGTGGGGGTCCAGTTTGAAATGACAATAGCCACCTTAGTAGTAAGCATCATCTGGTCACCAGGAGACTCTGGAGGTCACCATGGTGACCATGTATTCCAAACTCTGTACAATAAGCAAATTCATTGTTAGTCAGCTAAGCATTTGTGTGGGACACTAACACCTGAACTGTCTCTTAACTGACTTTTGACATGTTAACAGTATTTGAGAAAGCCAAGGTGCATTTTGGTTGACTGTGAGATACCTTCCTCCTGCCTTAGGGTGAAGGGATTCTCCACAGTCTTTAATAAACTGCATTTTATATAATCCTGAATTTGTCTACTGCCTTCTTAGGTTTCAGTATAGTTTACCTTTGGCAGTCAGTTCTTATACACTCAACTTTCCCAAAACAGTTTTTTGGTTGATTTTTGTTTTAAGGTCTAAATGTGCTTAGGTTCCTGTTTAATAATAATTTTTAAAAATAAAAGTATGCTTTGATGAAGGCAGAAAATAAATATTCAACATCTACTCCTTAACCAACCAAAGAAATAAAATTTGATGTTACTTTTAAAGTTAAAGATACCTGGCAAATCTTAATCACTCCACAAAAAGTTTGTGAGTTAGATAAAAGTGAAGGCATTTGGGAATTTCTCAAGTTCCAGGTGACTAGACAAAAAAAAAAAAAAAAAAAAAAATACAAGCTATCAGCTAAAGAATGAGTGACAGCAAATACTTACATAATTATTCATTAGGCACTATACATAAACACTTTACATATAAGAAGTCACGATATGCCAATTATATGCTAACCAATAAATGAGCTTCATACAGTCATTATAAATCATTAGGTCATGACTATTCTTATTTTATGTGGCAAATAACTGCAAGATACAACAATATAAATAGTGATCTTCTAGATTTAGCAGCTGCTCTAAACAGTTTTCAGGACTACATTAGATGCTAATTTTAAGTGATTTTAGGCTTTGGCCTCTGTAATACAATCATAAGTTAACAGTTTTACAAAGTCATAAACATTAAATTAATATGAAACAATCTAAAAAAAAAACTCTTTAAGAGGCATCTAGTTTCTTATAGGCTTCTTCGATGAACATTGACAAGTTCTTCATATGGGATGAATTGTGAAGAACATCCAAGTCCTTTAGAAGAGCATTTTGGTTTGGAATTAGCATCAAAATTTCTTTCTGTAGGTAAAATGGTGTAATCAGTTCTTAATATTTTCTTATGAAAAATGCCTGTTATTTAGAGAGAACAGTATAATACTGTCAAGTACCCACCACCCAAATCACCACTTGTCAACTCATGACTATTCATCTTTCAAATCTATCTTTCCCTTTCCCTATTCTTGCTCCTCTCACCATTGGTGGATTATGGATAGGAAAACAACAAAATAAAATAAAAACAACTGTTAAAATTTATTTCTCAAAATGTATTCTACAGTTATAATAGTGTGTGTGTGTGTGTGTGTGTGTGTGTACTCTCGCGTGTGTATAGCATCATCTGTAACACAAAAGTTATTTATTTTCATCACAATTATATCTTGGTATAGCCATGCAATGAAATGTTACCAACAAGCTATGGACAAGAATGAGAGATCTAGCAAGGCATGGTGGATCATGCCTGTAATCCCAGCAGCTTGGAGGCTGAGGCAGGAGGATTGCGAGTTCAAAGCCAACTTAGCAAAGGCGAGGTGCTAAGCACCTCAGTGAGACCTTGTCTCTAAATAAAATACAAAATAGGGATGGGGATGTAGCTCAGTGGTCAAGTACCCTTGAGTTCAATCCCCAGTACCTCCCACCCCCCAAAAGAATGACAGAAGTATATGAACCAACAAGGAGATATGTTCAAACTATACAGTCAAATGAGATAAGTGATTTGCCCGTTTTTCTCAGGATTAGATTTGTTTAAAGGAAGGAATAGGATATAATTTTACATATATGGAATGCATAATTGGTGGTACAGTCAGTAGGGTAAATGGGTACTTACGTGAAGTGTGGGTGCTTTAAGACTGTTCTGAGAAAGTTCTGGAAGAGAGAGTACCCCACTACAATCCATTTGAAGCATCTAACATAGAAACAGAAAACTAGACATTATTTGAAAATATAGATATTGACCATCTTATTATTCTCCAAAGTTATCTTATTAAAATTTAAGCATTAAAAATTATATCTAAATTCCAGCAATATAATTTTTTCTTTTTTTATTAGAACTTTACAGTTACATGAAGTAGTTGGGTTCATCCTGACATACACACATGGGAACTAATCTCAGTTCATGAGCCCCCTTTTCTCTCCCCCTTTTCCTCTACTCCACCCTCTTCTCTCCCATTTTTCTTCCTTTACTCTACTAGACTTCCTTTTACTCATCTATTAATTTATATTCAATTGGTTCTTTATGTTATCCTATCCTCTCCTCCCCCCTTTCCTTTATTTTACTCTAGCTTTCACATATTAGAGGAAATATTTGATCTTTTAGTTTCTGAGTTTGGCTTATTTCACTTAGCATGATATTCTTCTCCATTTCCATCTATTTACCAGCAAATATCATAATTTCATTCTTTTTCAGCAACATATTTTTAAGCAATTACCTGTTTTACCTTCTCCTCCTCTTCTTCTACTTCATGTGCCACAATTTGAATTTTGTTCTTTAGTCTATGAATATTTTCAGTCATTGATTCTGTGGTCTCTACCATTTTATCTATTTCTTCCTGAATCAGAAAGAAAAAACAATTAATATTTAAATTAAATGTTATCAAATTAACTCCATTATCTATGTTTATATATGCATATACATATATAGATAGTCTTAAATACCTCATATATAAGACAGTTTGGGAAGAAAATACTGAATTTTTCTGTTTCTTTCAAAAAACTGACTTCCTAGAAAGCTGTTTTGCCAATGTAATAATGCCTTATAAGGAAAATGAATTTCACTGGAATAAGGAGATATACTCTATGTCCATGAATGCTTCTTTAAAAACTTACCAAAGCTGCTAGTATCAGAGATCCTTGAAGACCCAAATGTGAGTCCAAGGACTGATAATGAGCACATACAGCAGCCTTCCTTGCGTATGATATAACTTCAGGTAACAGAGAAACTAATTTTAAAGTTTTTTCATTTAGTTAGGAACATTTGCATGTCTGCTATTTTAGTTTGTCAAAGAAGGCAATACTAGTCATTAGAGCTGGGATAGTAATAAAAAATAGTGACAGTTTCCCACAGACATGAATAAAATGAGTATGGGAAAAAACAAAGGAATGTGCTGGTTGTAGGCCAAGTATAGAATTAGTTAGCTTCCAGAATTCTAAAGAGTATTAAGTACTGTACTGAAATTCCTAGCAAGAGTTAATGACAGCAATGCTTCTGGGAGTTAGAGAACAATTAAATAGATCTTAAAGAAAATATTCAGAGGTAATAACTCTTAATACTGTTCAGTAATATAGCCAATGCTACATCGATATTATTCTGCAAATACTGGAAGCAGAATTGTTGCTGGCAATTATAGCAGTATTCTTCAAGAAATATAATATTTATGTAAAATATAAATTCTAAATGGCTATTTTCTTAAAAGTGCACCTGCAGGTATTGGTAACTGCCAATTACAGCTTTAATAAACTTCAAGAATTATAAATGGCTTTTACATTTTTAAATGAGAGTTAAAAACCAAACCAAAAGAATATGCAACAGGGAAAATATGTGTTCCACAAAATCTAACTTGTTTATTGCCTGGCCTGTTACAGGACAAGTGTGCCAATCCTTGAGTGCCCAAAATGTTGAGACTGAATTTAACTCACTAGAATGCAAACTCCACAGAGGAAGACTTTAATTCTTGTTTTGTTTTTTTTTTTTTTCACCAGGGATTGAACTCAGAGGTGCTTAACCACTAAGCAACATTCCTAGCCCACGCCCATCCCCTTTTTTAAGATAGGGTCTCACAAAGAAAAAAGTTACCTATAATAAGGATTAAAAGTTTTCATTAAAAATTTAAAAATTTTTTTTGTAGCATTGTTTTGCCTATCTTCTTTGAGTATTATTATCATTCTCATGCTGTTTCTTCATCAAAATTTTGTCATTCTTTTTCAATTCCTTTAAAAAACATTTTTTTTATGATTTAAATTGTTTTCTCAGTTTATCTTCTTTTTAATCATACACATGATCTGTTCAGTCTATTTGCTTTAGTGTTTCTGCTAATTTAACTTGCAAATGCAAACTATTTACCTAAATATCTAATTCTTTCCTGAATTCTGTAACTTCATTTATTAGTAGTTTTAACACTGATTTACGATATTTTTTTCCCACACCTTCTATCATTTTTTCAATTTCTTTCAACTCAGTTGAGATATTAGGTTAGTGTTCTTCTGTTTTGTGCCCTTGTCCTTTTGGCATGCTTTTTAAAAATTGTCTATAGGAATGCTATTTTTGTTCCTCATTTTCAACATTTGTTTATGCTGATTTTGAAACCCTATCGCTCCATTGTTATGAAAGATCTGGAGATTAAAAAAACAATGCCTCAGCAGTTTTAATGTTATCTTCCTAGAATATGAGACTTTGTTCAGAGTTTCCTTTTCCTTAGCATCATCATTAAGAGCACAATAATCAATCATGTTATATAGGAGTAAACTTGTGTTACTATTAACAGGTTTCAGAAAATTACTAACAATAACTCTAGGCTGTAGAGGGAAAAAGCAATGTTTCCAAGTAAGAAACACAAGAGAAAACTAATGTATACAAACAGTTTAAAAACTACTAATTTGAAGACCATCTTATGTAAATAAACTCTGCCCAAAACACCAGTAGTGCTTTCATTGAGTAACTGACTACCACAAGTCTTAGATGGTATTTGTTTCTGTCACATGGATGTATTATTTTAACTGTAAAACAGAAATGTTTCCTCGTATTATAAAAATCACACTATTGCTTACTACTTCTGAATATTTTTAATTGATTTGTGGATATATTAAATATTAAAATAACATTCACCACTATTATTCACTAGAATCTTTTTTTTTAATATTTTTATTTTTAGTTTTTCGGTGGACACAACATGTTTTTATTTTTATGTGGTGCTGAGGATCAAACCCGGGTCCCGCCCGTGCTAGGCAAGCGCTGTACCACTGAGCCACAATCCCAGCCCTCACTGGAATCTTAAAAAGATAACCTAACTGATATCATCTCAGTGTTTATTAAGTGGTGGAGGTGGTGCCAATACTAAAAAGACACCCTGATAAAGTAGTAACACTGGGGGTAGAAACTAAAGGTAGTATTACACTAGGAATAAATGAGGCAACCACCAAAACAAAAACAAAAAAAACCCCTATTTATTTATAATATATTTAGATCTGTGGCTCCTATCTCTTCCACTAAATTCTTAAAACTATGGAAGGCTGGAATGAATTACTTGAGAATTGTGAAAAATGCTAGAAATTCTTGGGGATCTATTGTTTGCATAAAGCACTACTACCTCTACTACCTTGCAATCAGAATTGCTAACAAAGACCTAATCACCACATCTACAAACTACTTCAAATGTTTGAGGAGGACTGGGACTGTAGCTTAGTGGCAGAGCTCTTGCCTACCATGCATGAGGGACTGAGTTCCATCCTCAGCACCACATAAAAATAAACAAATACAATAAAGGCATTCGGTCCATCTACAACTACAAAAAAAAAAACTAAAAAAATGTTTAAGAATACTTGGTCCAAATTGTTTTAGTTTTTATAATTAATTGATAAACTTCTTTAAGGTTCTTATTTGTTCATATATCCACAAATTAAAATTCTTAAAGTTCACCAAGATGGCTAAGGTTATTTCCTATTAAGAAGCAATATAGCATAATGATTAAGCATCAAGCTCTAAAGTCAGACCGATGAGATTAGCATCTCAACTTGAAGCAGTTTGTTTTAAGGTTCCATTAGAAATAATAATGTATGTATTTTATTTCCCATTTGTAAAATGAGATAATTAAGGTTAGACTCTAACTTACTGTGAGGATTAAGAGATATAACTATATAGAAAGCCCTCAATACACTTAAGCTATGATAACAATAATATAATGATTATATCTTCTTGCCATATACAGGATGAAACTAATGTTTGAGATTCTATGGCATCTAGTGATGAATTCCTATAACTTTATAATTAAAAATATTAAGACAGTTATATTAAAACAGTTTGATAGAAAACAACAACAACAAAAATAGGACTATTACTTCACCACAATTATATCAGAAACATTTCAACTTCAGAGACCCCAAATCCAGTATTTATTACTGGAAAAATATTATGGTAATTCTTAAAAATATTTTTTAAAGTCTCTTTCTCTTCCCCCTAACCTTCTAATTATGGATTCTCTATTCAAATTCCATACCTGCAATAATGCCAGACCTTCTTCATTAGCTGTTTCTTGTGCCTTTTCCATTTTCAGTAGATTTGAAACATTAGTTAAATATTTCAGCTTTCTGGGAGGGACTTTCATGGTTTCACACAACTGTAGTAATCTTTAGAATAAAATATTATTGTTTATTTTTGTTTTCAAACAGTTCTCTCTCTCTCTTTTTTTCTGTCCTGATATTCATAAAGGCTATAACATTCTTCTACCAACAATGGCTAAACTATGGTAGAAACTCCTGTCCCTCCTTCCCCAAAAAAGTTCTGGTAAAATTTATGAAGAATTATCTCAGATCATGGCTGTTCACCAAAAGAACACTTTTTATTTTACACACTTAACAACTTACATGTATTTTAAAATCAAATTTTCCTTTTATTACCTATATATGTTTCTTTAAATTTTTTTTTTTAGTTGAAGTTGGACACAATATCTTTATTTATTTATTTTTATGTGGTGCTAAGGATCGAACCCAGTGCCTCGCACGTCCTACACGAGCACTCTGCGCTGAACCACAGCCCCAGCCCTTATATATGTTTTTTAAACTATGATGGCACATAAGTCTATTACTAATTGTGAATTATTGGGTTAAGAGAGTCTACTAGTCAATTTACATTAATCATACATGAGAGTTTTTACCACAAAGTTAATTGAACACCAAGAAGCGCATTACCTAAGCTGGGTCTGAGACTATATCCCAGAATTTTCTAACTGAAGTGAGGGGATAAAAGTATTTTTTCTCCTGTTTTTTTTTTTTTTTTTTAAATAAAGCTGAAAGATGTATACTATAGGGAGCTGTATGTTTACGTTTTTAATCTAGAGAGAACAACTGATAGCTAAAAAGAACTAAAAGAATGGAGATAGCATGCAGAGAAAAGCAGAAACAAGACTAATATGTGAAAATAGGTTCCTGTAGTAAATATCAATTTGGCAGATGCTAAGTTAAACAAAATGAAATATATTTATTTACTGTAGAGATTATTATGTTAATATACCCAAATATAATTTGTCACAGATTATTTTTATTCATAGAATATCTTTAAAAACAAGTGTTTCAAATACGCTTTGAGAAATGCTGCTATAAAAATATTTATTCAGATTTCTAATTAGGACCTGGTTTAGATTCTAATGCTGCACTCTGTTGTGTCAGAAGTAAGAATATCATGGGATGATTACTTTGGTAACTAAAGAAAGTGAGTTGTGAAAGTAAAAATGTAAAGAAAATAGGCAGGCTTTGAAATATATATCTCCATAGCTACATGAAGAGAACTGCCTATCTGTTGCATATAATTTCATCTTTTCTGATACTCTGACATCAATTATTATGTACTATGATATTGTCATTCATATGCTAAGCAACACTGTTTGTCTTATATAGTTAAAAAAAATTTTTTTTTTTTTGGTACTAGAGGTTAAACCCAGGGGAACTCAACCACTAAGCCACATCCCCAGCCCTTTAAAATTTTTTTTTTATTTTGAGACGTGGTCTCACTAAGTTGTTTAAGGTCTAACTAAACTGCTGAGGCTGGGTCTAGAACTCGTGATCCTCCTACTTCAGCCTCCCAAGCTGCAGGGATTATAGGTATGCGTCATCACGGTTGTCACTGTCTTATGAGTTTATATAGCTGGTTTTATTATACTTCTATTCATTGATTTTTTTTGGTATCCTCCTTGTTCTTTAATAGTGGCCATTATATCTTTATGAAGCTTATAAGCTTGCTTCCAGTAGTCCTTCTTTAATCTGTTCAATTTCTTTTAACAAACTCCTACCCTCACCTACCCCATTCTATCCCACTCTATTTTGCTACTATGGATTGAAAACTAAAGAAAAGGAAATAGAATTTGTGCTCAAAGGACTCATAGAAGATAAAAAACTAGTTCACAGACATTTCTGGGCTAACCTGAAACTGAGATATAAAACATGATTTTATGAAAAGAATAATTGTGCTAATACTAGAAAAAAGTAATCACTGAAAATCATGGGCAGTGGTGTGGTTTTTAAGAACACTTGAAAAGAAACCTGTTAATGACTTGTCACAACATAAAGAGCAAAAATAACTTGGAAAATTATACCTGCTCCTTGTGCAAATAGGGTAACACAATATGAAGTAGAGGAAAAACCACAGAAAACGGTTAAAAATACAATAGTGAATTGTTAACTTCAAATTGTTAAAAATGAAGTCTAAAGAAGTTAAAGTTGAAATATTTTTCAAATTTTGACACAGGACAATGAAACATGGCAATAAGAGTTTTGTGATTCTCTGGTATTTTATATAAATTCTCTGAAACTGAAATTATTTCAGTAACACATGCAGCAGCAGTTTAGGTGAGAACACATATTTCCAAGCTGTGTACTTTATTAAAAAAAAAAAAAACAACTTACATTTCATAAATGTCAATTTTAGCAACAGAAACAAAATCAGACTTTAAAAAATTAGTCATTTTTTAGTTGCATAACTATATTACCTTATCTTCAGGTAGTTGAGATGACATTGTATTTGTTCCTTTTCTTTAATTTTGTTACTCAAAATTGCTCTAGGAAAAAAATATTTTAAATAAATATTTATTTAAAACACAAATGAATATGTGTACTTTTTCTCTCTGAATCCTCTCTAGTGCTCCTCTTCACTAGACAGGCAGAATCAATCACTTTTCCTTTTATATTAAATATGTTTTAAACCAAAGTATAATGCAATTTTAAAAATCATTGTATAATAAGAATTTTTGTGTCTCACTCTTCTGATAGAATTTAGCTCTACAATAGCAGAATTCTGTCTTGATTTCTTTGTATCCCCAGTAGCATTGTAGCTTCCATAGAAAGAATCACTTTGAACTCAATTTCTTCCAGCATCCTTATTGACAGAACAAATTAAAATTTTTACAGAAAGCAGATAAGGCCACAAAGACTAGACTTTTATTTTACTGACAGAATCCTAAGTTTCAAAAATTAAAGAAGACTTTTTGCAGAAGGTTAATGCGCTCATAAGGTATTAAATTTATCTTCTTCTGAAACAGAAAAGGAATCCATCACTTTAACATATAGTGATATTTTTAAAAATGTCTATAGGAAACAAATAAGTAGGAACCAAATGAGTTAAAAGGAAAAATTGTATACTCACATTATTACTGATTCTATCATAGTTTGCAAATGCTCTCTGGTACTGTTTGAAAGAAGTTGCCAGGTTTTTCTCTTGTTGGATGCTATCTTTATCTGTTTTAGATTAGTATGTTTTATTTGTTCTGTTATTGATAATAGAAGAAGACTTTGATCAATTCAGAAAGCTTGCTTGTTTTTACTTAAAAATTACTTTTTCTAAAATCTAAAAACGTTAAGGGAATTATGAAAACAAAAAAATTCACTTTTATTACATAGCTATAATGTGCAAGGTGTTAAATATGAGGGGTTTTTTTTTTTGCCTACTATTATGTTAACTGAAACACTAATATTGGAATACAAACTTCAAATATACTAGGGATTGAACTCAGGAGCACTTAACCACTGAACCACATCCCCAGGCCTATTTTGTATTTTATTCAGAGACAGGGTCTCACTGAGTTGCTAAGTGCCTCACCATTGCAGAGACTGGCTTTGAACCCATGGTCCTCCTTGTCTCAGCCTCCTGAGCCACTGGGATTACAGGTGTGCACCACCGTGCCCAGCTCAAATAATTTTAATTGAAGAACTAAGCTATAATTATTACAGCTTGGTACTCAGAAATGACTTGAATTCCTTAAGAACTTCACTAAGACAAGAAAATGATTTCTACCAAATACTGGATGGGAACTGGAACAAAACAGACTAATGGAACCACAAATAGATGTTCAGTATGGATTACATTGTACTTATAAGGAATAAACAAGAATACATAGTATTGGCTCCCGTAAATATCCGTTTGAAGAAAAACAATGTTAAAAAATTACAGATGTGCAGAGCATTACAAAAGAAAAAAGGACTGTGCCCTATGGAAGTATAAAACCAGAACCTCATCTTTGGGGAGGAAAGACACAAATCATACCAATGAAGAAATGATGTTCAATGGGGCTGAGGATGTGCCTCAGTGCTACAGCACTTGCCTGGCATATGTGAGGCCCTGGGTTCGATCCCTACCACCACCCCCCAACACACACACAAGGAAAAAAAGACGCAATGTTTAAGAAAACAACAACTTCAAACTAATTATTCCAAACAAACTTAGTGGTTCAAAACTAATCTATACAGTTATACAGTAGTGATAGAACATAAAGCATATTTGTCTTGAAGAGAAATAAGTAGGTTTGTCTCTATTCATAGATCAGTAATAATTCAGATTGTGATATGATTTTTCTCTAGTCCTATCAACTTAGTTGCATAGAAGCCTAGATGGTATTTTGTTGGAGATATACAGTAAAATTTCAGTTGACCAAAATAATAAACATATCTTACAAAAATCTGAATTTCAGGATTTATTATTATCTTTAGCTTTTGCAGAATCTATAAACAAGACGCTGAAAATTTGTTCACGACTTGAAAAAGTCACACAGTAGATAAGATATAGGCAAGGAATACCTTCAGAAGACAAATTCTTTGGATGATTTTTATTTCTTTTTCCTGTGTTTCTAACCTAAAAGGAAACACACACAGAATTAAACAACAGATAAATATCATCGTAACAATAGATTTGTCATATATATTGAAGAGGATTCATATACCCTCTTGTGGGTAGAAAAAAAGTTGCTGGTATTGTTTCCACAGAAAAAAAATTTTTGATCAATTCATGTATTCTTTAATAGGGAAGGGCTGCTAGATATATGCCTGTAATTCCAGGCAGGCTGAGATAGGAGGATGGCTAGTTAGTGAGACACTGTCTCAAAAAAAAAAAAAAAAAAAAAGGCTGTGGCTAAGTAGCTAAGCACCACTGTATTCAATCCCTGGTACAAAAAAAAAAAGGGGGGGGGGCAAATTTAGTTAGAATTATAAATTTCCCCCCAAACTATTTTCTCTCTATGCTAATAAAAATCTACACTAAAAGACAGACTCTTGTCTTTTAACATAGAAATGTGATAAGAATGCATAGACTTTATTCCTAACCTTTGCATTTAAACATCTTAGCAATACCCCCAGGGACCCTTCTTCCTCCAAGAATTCTATGGTCAATGTTTATTTTTAGATTTGGAAGTAAGTAACAATTTTTATTTGACAACTTCCTAAATGTTAGAAAAGTTTCCAGACTATGAGATGAATTTTATAATTTGTACAAAGTCTGATCCTCAGACTTCAAACATTTTTCTCAAATACAAGAGATGATGTTCCTAATCAAAAGAGTACTAAATGGTGAGACCTGATATTTTCATTACCTGTTTCTCAGACAATTCCAGTTCCTCATTATCGATTTTTCTTTTTGAACTTCTTTTCAACTGTTGAGACTTCTTAGAAGCATTTGCTTTACCAGGCATCTCGATCTACATAGTAAAAGAGTAACAATGTTTTAAAAAGTGTGTAAAAATGAAAAGAACACTGAAAAATGCTAAAGCCTACACAAAGTTTTGTTATAATTTTTCCTTCTTTAAAAATAATAATTTAAATAAGTTATAGGAAGAGTATTATATGTTTTTAATACATTTAAACATTTTAAAACAAATAATTTGGCATTTTTGTATCAGGAGATCTAATTCAATTTCATTTTTTGAAATTGTTTCAATTTTTATGGCTTTAAAAATAATTTAAAAATGCTTTTGCATCTTTCACCTCCTATCCTCCATACGTTATCTCCATGTTAATATCAAAAAATTATAAAGAGACAGAAAATGTCAGATCAAAGAATAATATCTTCTGATTTTAAGTAATGGGTTTTCCCATTGTTCAATTTATGGAAAAGATGGGAGGAGGTAATTTTTACGATTATATTATCAATGAATATTTGTGGATATTAATGTGACAGCCTGACACTTATAAGGATTTAAGTCACATTTAAATACACTATGTACATTTTAACAAGAGTACAAAAGTATACCAACTACAAAATACACATGGGAATGGTGATGTCAATGAGAATACTCAGAACAATTCCTTTTCCCTAATAGCCCTTTATCACCAAAGTCATTTCTGATAGAGGAATGAGTTATATATTCTTATGCTAGACCACAGGAGTAAATAGGTTACAAGTTAGGTATAGTACACAAGGAAATATGTATACACACACACACATATATATATATATGCATATATTGTTTATAGGTACATATACTGGATATATAAAGTACTCACCATTCCTTTTCTAAACATACTTCTCTCCTACTGGTAATTCTGCCATTCATGTACACACTGTCCCTTTGCCTGAGCTGCTCTCTCCCCTATCTTACCTATCCTCTCAGATTATGAGCCATCTTCTTCCCAAAACCTACCTAAAAATGCTACTTCATTTATTCCAAAGTTTATGGGCTCTTATGTCCTCTTTCATTTTACACTTACAGTTTGGATGTTATTCACTTTCTCTTAACATTCTTTACCCAATAATATGTAATTCAGCACTATTTTAAATTTGATTCTCAAATTGGTGCAATTCCTTTAAATACAGAAATTGAGAATAACTTCAGAGGTAATGCTTTGTTTTTCTCCATTTATTATGATGCTGGCTTTGGGTTTATCATATACACAGCACTTTTGATGAAGTTCCTTCTTGTTGTAGTTCTACATCGTTTTTTAACACGAATTGGTGATGAATACCATCAAAGGCTTTTTCTGCATCTATTAAAATGATCATGTATGCAACTTCAGTCCTCAATTACATTTATGTTATAGATTATATTTATTGGTTTACATATATTGACCCAACCTTGCATATCTGAATGAAAACAACTTAATCATGTTGTACAATATTCTTAATGTGCTTTTAAATGTGGATAGCTAATCTTTACTAAGGATATATGCATCTACATTCATCAGGGATTTTGGTCTACTTTTCCTTCCTTGATGTATCCTTATCTGATTTTGTTATCAGCGTGATACTGTGTTCATAGAATGGATTTGGGAGGGTTCCCTTCCTTTCTATTTCATGGAAATACTTTGGAGTGTACTGGCACAAGTTCTTTAAAGATATTGTAGAATCCAGCTGAGAATCCATTTGGTCCTGAGTTTTTCTTGTTGGAAGGCTTTTTATTACCACTTCAATTTTGCTGCTTGTGTTTTGGTCTGTTGAGGTTTTCTCTATCTTCCTAGCTCAATATGGGTAAGTCATGAGACTAGAAATTTGTCAGTATCTTCTGAATTTTCCAAATTATTGAAATGTTTATGTTCAAATTAGTCTCTGAAGATCTTCTGGATTTCAGCTATGTCTGTGGTGATATCTCCTTTTTCATCTTTAATTGATTTGGGTGTTCTGCCTCTCTTGGTTAATTCACCAGGGTATATACATCTTATATGTCTTTTCAAAGAACCAACTATATGTTACACTTATCCTTTCTATTGTTTTCTATTCTTTATTTCATTAATTTTGGGTCTGATCTTAATTATTTCCAGTTGGAATTAGTTTTTTTTTCCTAGGGCCTTGAAATGTAACAACTGATTGTTTATTTGGGATTTTTTAAGTATAGGTATTCAATGTACTCTTACCACTCCTACTCAATATAGTACTTGAAATTTTAGTAATGCATAATTAAGACCAAGAAGGAAATTAAAGGGATATAAATAGGAAAAGAAGAAATCAGCTTATCTATTTGTAGATGATATGATACTACACATAGAAGATCCAAAAAACTCCACCAGACTTCCAGAGCTGAATTGAGCAAAGTAGCAATATACAAAAATCAATAGCTTTTCTATACAGCAATAATGAACTTACCTGCCCCCGGCAAATCTAACCAAATTTAGATTTGGTTAAAAGACCTCTATAATGAAAATTACAGGCCACTCCCCCGTACATTCCCCTAGGGCAACTGAGAATCAAACCCTGAATCATTCTACCTCTGAGCCACATCCCTAGCTCCCCAGTTTTTGTTGTTCTTGTTGATTTTACTCTCACTAGGTTGCTCAGGCCAGCATGGAACCTGGATCCTCCTGCCTTAGTTTCCTGCCTTAGTCTCCTGCTTTGCTAGGATTACAGGCATGCACCACTGCATGCACGTTAAAGGAAGAAATTGAAGAAGACATTAGAATATGGAAAGACCATCCATGTTCTTGGATAGGCAGAATTAACATTTTTAAAATGGTCATATTATAAAAGCAATCTACATATTCAATGCATTCCCACTGAGGCAGGACCATAACCCCAGATTAAAACCCTAGGTTAAAGCTTGATTTTTTTGTTTTTATTTTTGGTTGTCTGAGTAGAAGACCCCACTCATGCTTAGATACCCATACATTCTGTTGTTGCCCCAAGTTTCCTTGACTACCCTAACATTAGTTAACCTCATTAAGTTGTTTTGAACCCAAGCAATTCTTTTGTTTTAAGGAACAAGTACAGATAAATTCAGGTAAACAAACACATTAAATAATCCCATTATGGGAATAAGAAATTAAAGTTGTGCACCTTCAATTGAGACAGAGAAAGAGAACAACCAAAGGGGAACTTTCCATTGAAAGGTTGGTTCTTCATCAAAGCAGTATAAATACTCCTAGGCAGTCCCTCTTTGGGACCCCTCCCATGCTGTAGGAGCTTTCCTTGCTTGCTTCTAATAAATCTGCTACTGAATTCTCACCCTCATCATTGTGTACTTCATTCTTTGGGTGCATGAGACAAGAACCCTCCAGCACTCACATGACCCTGTGTTATACCATCAAAATATCACATACATTTTTCACACAACTAGAAAAAAGTCCTAAAATTTACATGAAAGAATAAAAGATTAATAATAGTCAAAGCAATTATGAACAATAAGAATAAGGCTGGAAACATCAAAACACCTGATCTCATATTATACTACACAGCTAGAGTAACAAAAAAGGTATGGTACTGGCATAAAAACAGACATGTAAATCAATAGAATAGAACAGAAAACACAGAGACAAATCCACATAGATACACTTATCTGATCTTTGGCAAGGGAGTCAAAAACATATGTGAGAGTAAGGATAGTCATTTAAACAAATGGTGCTGGGAAAATAGGATATTCATTGGCAAAGAATAAAACTAGATCCCTCTCACCCTGCACAACAAACAACTGAAAGTGGGTCAAAGACCTGAATATTAGACCATATATTTTACAACTGATAGAAGAAAACAAAAGGTCAATACTCCAGCACTCCAGCATATAGGCACAGGCACAGACTTCCTTAATGAGACTCCTAAAGCTCAAGACATGAAACCAAGAATGGACAAGTGGGATGGTATCACATTAAAGCTTCTGCATAGAAAAGGAAACCAAGAGCGTAGAGAGAGTCTACTGAATGGGAGAAAAATCTTTACCAACTATTCTTTCAACAGCTTAATATCCAGAATATACACAGAACAAAAACCACTTAACATTAAAAAACAAAAACAAAACAGAATAACCCTATCAACAAATGGGCAAACAATCTATATAGACATTTCTCAAAAGAAGAAATACAAATGGCCAAGAAATATATGAAAAAAAAATGTTCAATATGCTTAGCAATTAAGGAAATGCAAACAAAACTATACTGCAATTTTGTTTCACCTCAGATAGAACAACAAACATCAACAATACAATAATAGTGGGGTGCAGTGGCATATGCCTGTAATCCCAGCAGCTCAGTAGGCTGAGACAGGATTGTGAGTTCAGAGACAGGAGGATTGTGAGTTCAAACCCAGCTTTAGCAATGACGAGGTGCTAAGCAACTCAGTGAGACCCTATCTCTAAATAAAATACAATAGGGATGGGGATGTGGCTCAGTGGTTTAGTGACACTAAGTTCAATCCCTAGTGCCAAAAAAAAAAAAAAAAAAAAAAAAGAGAGAGAGAGAAAGAATACAAATAATAAATTCTTGTAAGAGTGTAAGGAAAAAGCCTCATATTGTTAATGGGACTAAAATTTAGAACATCCACTGTGGAAATCAGTATAGATTCTTCAAAAAACTAGCAGTGGAATGATCCTACGACACAGCTATTCCACTACTTGGTATTTATGCAAAATAATTAAAATCAGTATACTATGGTGATACACACATGCATATGTTTATAGCAGCGTATTTCACAATAGCCAACTTATGGAACTAGCCTAGATGTCTGTCAAAAGATGAATAGTTCAAGAAAATGTGATATATATATATATATATATATACACACACACAATAGAGTTTTACTCAGCCATAAAGAATGAAACTATACCCTTTGTTGGTAAATGGATGGAACTGGAAAATATTATATTAAGTGAAGTAAGCCAGACTCAGAAAGTCAAGGATTGAATTCTTTTTCTTATATGTGGAAAACAGATGGAAAAAAAAGTGATCCCATGACAATAAAAGGGAGACTAATAGAGTAAGAAAGGAGATTCAAAGGGAGGAGGGAAAGAGGAGGTACTGTAGAATGAAACTGACCAAATTACACTCTGTCCATATATGAATATACACAATCATCCTCACTTTTATGTATACTTATAATGCCCTAATTAAAAAAATACAATGGAGACAAGTAGAGTAGAGGCAGTAAGGAAAGGGGAGGTACAGGGAAATGAGATTGATCGAAGTATGTTATGTGCATTTATGAATATGTCACAATGAGTCCCACCATTATGTATAAGTTATAATGCTCTAATAAAAACTACAAAAAGAAATTGAGCATAATAAAAGTTTCCATAACAATATGAAAAAGTAATTTTATGTATGTCAAGTCTAATCATAAAATAATTGACCTTGTTTTTTGAATCTCATTTTTCTGGTGTAATATTTAAAGAGTGGACTTTATTTTTAGACCAATTATAGTTTTACAGTGAAACTGAGCAGTAAATATAGGGAGTTCCCATATAGCCTCTGCCTATGCCAATCCACTCCAATTTCCCCCATCAACATCTAACACCATAGTACTGGAGCTGCTACAACAAACCTACCTTGTCATATGAACCCAAATCCATAATTTAGATTACAGTCCATTACTGATGTTGTACAGTCTATGGGTTTGAATAATAATTAATTTTAAATTGTATTTTACAAAAGTATCAGTTGTGCATGACAAGATTTTTAAAAAAAAAATCAGTCCTTTGTCAAGATTTTAGAAATAATTGTTTTAATACTTACTTGAGGTCATAAAACACAGCATAAAAGGTTTCTAAACCTCAGCATTATTAATATTTTGTATGGGATAATTTTTGGAGTTGTTGTTGTAGGAGGCTATCCTGTGCACTGTAGATATTTAGAAGTATTCCTTGTCATCATGCTTCAGAAGCTAGAATCCACCCACTCACAAAGAGTGAAAACCAAAAATGTCTCCATACATTGTGAAATTTCCCCTGGTGCAAAACTGCCCTATGTTGATAACCACTGCTATGGTGGTTAAGAGTAAGCCAGGGATGAGGATAAATAAATTGTGCAGGCTGCAAATCCTAGCTCTGCCACTTAACAAGCTATATAGCTTTGAAATAATTAATTCAGTTACTGTATTAGTAAAATAGCTTAATAAGAGTACTAACATCAGAGGTGTCTGAGGGGCTAAAATGATTTATTACAGAACATATAAAGTGTATAGAACAATACTTGGGTCACAGTAAGAACTCAATAAACAAAAGTCATCATTTCTATCATATTGGGATAACTGTGGTGTATACAAAAAGAAACAGAAATTTTTTCCTGTTTCTGGATCCACAGGAAACCATAGCCTTGTCATAGTGACTAGAAACAGATATGGCAATTCCTATCTATCATGTGGTAACTGCTATGAAAGAGATATGACTGAATGAATACCTCAAATTTGATTCCGTGTACATGTAGGAATATACAGTATTTAAAGAAACCATTATTTGAATTACACTTTGAAATATTTAGCCAGAAGAAGAATGAATGAATGAAGTATTTAAGAGAAATCGGCAAAAGCAACGGCAGGTCAGAGGGAATGAAACTGGTGTCGACGGCAGGAAACCTTCAGCGAGGCTTTCACAGTGTAAGGTAGGAGTAGAAAGAAACAAGGCACCAAGGAGAGTTTGCAGTCGGACTGTACACCAAAGAGGGAGGTATCCCACGTAGTCCGGTTTCTCCATCACCTTGCTGAAGCTCAAATCAGGGTGCTCAACCCAGAGGGCACAAGAGGGTGCACGATCCCTGAAGAAACACGGACACTGCTCTCTAAAGCTGCACTTCGTTCACCACCGACTGCGCAGAGCTTCAGGAATGTGGCCAAGGAGGATGACCACAGTGAGGACGGTGCGCAGCTTCGCGCCCTGGAGAAAAAACAAATACCTCAGCCTTCGGCTCCTGAGTGCAGACCTTTTGGGACATCGGACATTTCCCCTTGAAAAACCGCCTCGCTCGTCAAACAGAAATCTCGGAGTTTGCTATAAACGCGTTGGCTACAAAACTCATCCCTTAACCTGGATTCACGACTCACCACTGACTGATTCTTCTTCAGTCTCTCTGGAACTTGTGCTCAGACTACTTCGCGCCCAAATAATCAAAAGCCGGAGACCCGGAATAACGTGAGAAGAAAGCGGAAATGCTTGCAGTAGAAGGCGGTCGTCCAGGCCTGCTCCTGACGTCATCAGAAGCGCGCTCGCAGAACGTGTGATTTGATTGGTCTGGCAGAGGGCGGTGTCAGCCTCGGCTCCCTGATTGGCCTAGGAGGCGTTCGCGCTTGCACTGTTGCCGGGACTTACAGATGTGTTGACCTCTTGGCAAGTGAGGGGCGGGGTCGGTGTGCGTGGGGTCTGCGGCCCTTTCCCACAGAGCTGTCAGCAACAAGTCCGCCAGTGAGTAGAGCTCTGCACCTGGGAGCCCGTCAGGCTTTCAGATACTTCCATTTTCATTTTTCTAGCTCGTCTCTGCTCTACCCCTTTTTCTCTTCTACTCTGTCCTGTCCTTCTTTTTGTTTTCCTTCCTACTGGAAAGGATAGCACTTTCCTCGACTTTCTTTCTCCTCAGGGCTAAATGTTCATTCAGGTCCTTGGGTATTTGGAGGCACCACTGCAAAGGTGCTCTTCAGTTCAGGAACAATGTCGCTGTCATCTCGGGCCACAGGAGTACCTATTAAGCAGAGCTCATTTTTCCTATGATTCCAGAGGGGTTGCCCCCCGGCTCCATGGCAGCCTTCCTTCTAGTCTCCGGCTCATGTTATTAGAGTTTTTCCAAAAAGGCGATGATACAAAACGTAGTTGGGTTAGGAGTGAGAAATGGAATAGGAAAAACAGGTCTAAATCGGCAAAGTGTAAAATATTTACTTGCTCTTGGCTTTGTCTAGAAAGAGGTCTTTTAGAAGCTTGAAGCGTGCAAGGTTTTAAGCCACTTGATTTAACACAGTATAATTTGTATTTAATGAATTCTTTATGCTAATATTAATTTGCACGTCCTTAGTTGCTAATATTAACTTACATCTCTAATCCAAAATGCCTGAACTTGGGAGGTAGCTAGCCTTTCTTTAGGTACCCACATGAACAGTCAAACTTGAAAATGGTTTGGTTCAGATTTTTTTTTTCCTACGTATATTTTCTGAAGGTGAGAGGAAGAATTTTATCACCTCTATTTAACCCATTCTAATCATCATATTTGTTTTGCATGTTGCTTCTCTGAATGCTTGAAGCCTTTCCTGATGCATCTTCTAAGAAAATTCAGAAGACCTATTGCCATCAATAGTGGTTATGTTCTTATTTTAAAAAATTTCCAACCTTCCCAATTTGCCATTTGGTTTTCAGGAAGTTTCTGTTTTACAGGGCTCTCTCCTGTCATTTGTCCAGGTTGAAGAAAGGTTCAGAGTATTTTGTGTGAAATAGATGTGGTACTTTCCATCTTCAATTTAGTCTCAGTTATCAAATTACCTTTTATATTATTGCTACAGGAATGGTTCAGTTATAGCTTCTTAATTTTTCTCATTAATCTTTTAAGCTAGTAAATACAAGGGTAGCTTGCAAAAAGATGGATGAAAAGGACCCCCAGGTTTAATAAAATAAAAACCATAATACCTTTAAAACTTATGAGAGTTGTTTTTATGTTATTTATGTTTAGACTTTGTCCTAAGGACTTTTTACCTATTTGAGTGTATTGCATTTACAAAGATGTACCCTGATTCTTTATGAGCTTGTCTATTTTTTTTTTCAAAAAAAAAAAAAGAATCTATACATAACCTAGTTTTATTTATTTTTATATACTTACAGAAAGCACATACTTTATAGTTTCACAGTTTAATAAATTTCCACAAATGTAATACATCTAAGTAATTGGCATTCAGTTCAAGACTATCACCTCAATGGATTCCCTCTAGCTCCCTTTCTGTACTAGCTACCATAAGTAGCCACTTTTGATATAAAAATTAATTTTTATTGTTTCCTAAATATTTAAATAGCTACATAAAAAATTCTGTATTTGCATATGCTGCAATTCAGTTATAGCTAATACTTCCACTAGTGAATTGTTTGTTATTTCATGACCCTATGGTGTTAGTCTTTTATGCTTCATTAAATCTAAGAAATGGTATGGAATATAGAATTTAAAATTCATTTATCTTGTGGGTTCACCAGTATAAAATAATATGGTATGATAAATTTATTAATCATGTTTGCATATAAAATAGTTTAAAATGATAATCTCTGTATACTGAGGCTGGATAACTCTAAAGTTATTCAGTAATTCAGATAAACAGTTTACTCTTTTCCTCTATGGGATTTTGATCAAGCCACTTTATTTCTTTATTTTTCTGAACTTCAATTTCTATATCTGTAAAGTGATGAAATTGGCTCCATCACTTAATGTAAGACTCTATGCTAGTTATTAAGAATACATAGAGGGGCTGGGTATATGGCTCAAGTAGTAGCGTGCTCACCTGGACTGTGTGAGGCCCTGGGTTCGATCTTCAGCACCACATAAAAATAAAATAAAGATATTGTGTCCAGGGGCTGGGTATGTGGCTCAAGCGGTAACACGCTCGCCTGGCATACGTGGGGCACTGGGTTGATCCTCAGCACCACATAAAATAAAGATGTTGTGTCCACCAAAAACTGAAAAATAAATATTAAAAAAATTTTCTCTCTCTCTCTCTCTCTAAAAAAAAAAGATATTGTGTCCACCTTTAGCTAAAAAATAAATATTAAAAAAAATACATAGAGCTGGGCTCAGTGGTGCACACCTGTGATCCCAGCGATTCGGGAGACTGAGACAAGAGAATCATGAGTTGAAAGCTAGCCTCAGAAAAAGCAAGGTACTAAGCAACTCAGTGAGAGCCTGTCTTTAAATAAAATACAAATTAGGGCTGGGGATGTGACTCAGTGAAAGAGAATCCCTGAATTCATTCCCCAGTACCAAAAAAAAAAAAAAAATACATAGAATACATAGCCCTAATGTTTGAGCAATTCGTAAACTGGAAGGAGCAAGATTACTGATGTGGCTATTTGGCCCAACTTCTGGATTCAGGGAGTCTGGAAAAATATTAATTAAAGGGAAGTTCTTTGAAATTAGGCTGTCAGTTGGGTATAGTGGTTTTCATGTGTAATCTCAGCTGTGGGAAGGTTGAGACAGGAGAACCGAAAGTTCAAGGCCAGCCTCACCAATTTTGTTAGGCCCTTAGCAAATTTGTTAGACCCTGTTTTCTTTAAAAAAAAAAAAAAAGTAGAAGAAAGAAATAAATTAGGCTCTCTACATTCAAGTCTCTAAAATTAGGACAATATTGATACCTACCTGTTGGTATTTTCAGAATTAAAATTTCTGCTCTCTGTGAAGTCCTCAGGGCCTTCTGTGTGCCTGGCATATAGAAAATGCATGTTAAGAGATAATGCCTTAGCTGAATTAGCTAAATAAAAACAGGATATTTTAGGCTGAAGTGAGAACAGAACAAACTCATAAATCTTTGGCATCTGCAGTGAACTGTAGGGAATCCAGTATTTCAAGAATATAATATGTAGAGTACAAAGGAAGATGTGAGTTTGACACAGAATGTGGAGTGGACAAAGTCAGATGTGAGTTTGACAGGTTAGCAGAAACTGGTTATGGAAGTCTTAGATGGCTTTTTGATTTTTTTTTACCACTTTTTTTTCTTTACCAGCTACAGTAATGCCTTTCATGAAGTAAATATTAATTAAAACTCTTAAATGAAAAAATAGGAATTTATACTTTATCTTCAATATGATGCAGAACCTTTGAAAAATTTTGTGAGGATGTGACAAAATTTGCACTGGTGTATGGATTAGATGGTGCTAAGGCTGGTCAGTAAAGCCAACTAAGGGTCTAAAGAAGAAGAAGAATAACTAGGACAATTGTAAACGTGGAGAAAAGGAGCCAATATTAGGTGCAGAAAGTAGCAAAAGGGATATTTTAAAATATATGCAAACTATTTTTTTTTTTATTTTTCTAGATCAGTTCTCAATTTCCTTGAGTATTTTCATGCTTCATCATGTTGAGGGCAAAGAATCAGCTTTTTTCATTTTCACCCCATTACCTGAAGCAGTTAAAAGAACCATCATCCTCCAGGCTCCGATGGATACGGTGTCTACATCAGCAGAAACCTCTTCATCCAGAATGGGCTTCCCTGGCCAAAAAACAGCTGAAAGGCAAAAACCCAGAAGACCTAATATGGCACACCCCAGAAGGGATCTCTATAAAGCCCTTGTATTCCAAGGAGGATACTAAGGACTTACCTGGAGAACTTCCGGGAGTGAAGCCATTCACACGTGGACCTTATCCTACCATGTATACTTTTAGGCCCTGGACCATCCGCCAGTATGCAGGTTTTAGTACTGTGGAAGAAAGCAACAAATTCTATAAAGACAATATTAAAGGTGAGATTTTAACATGAGACATTATATTTCTAATTACACATAACTCCTAATCTTGGCTTTTTGGTTTTTTTGAGGAGACACTAATAATCTCCTTTAAGATATTCACTTTATAATTTTGTGATTAGAGACTATGCTGAAAAAAATGAATGTTTTTCAACTTCTGTGATTAAAAGGATAAGTGAGTTAGAACAAAGTGCTTATACCTTTATGTATAAAAGCAATTAGGTGAGGTGAAGTTGTACGAAGAAAAGACTTTTGCTTTACCTTTGAAAAGCTTTTAATTACTATTGTTGGAATAAGTATTGGAGGGGAAGATAGTTTAAATTATGACCAAAGAAAGTAAAAAGAAAATGATAATATACGGTAGATTCAGTGCAATCTTGCATTCATTCTCTGAAAATTATGTTTATAATTTCTTTTTCTGATCTATAATTAAATCATGTTGGTTACATGTTAAACTTGAGCATTCCTAAGTGTGTATTGTTAATGGAGGACTGAACATATGTTTAGTGTAGACTATATATTTATTTAAAAATTCTGGATGTGGTCTGGGGATGTAGCTCAGTAGTAGAGCTCTTGTCTAGCATGTAAAAGGTAGTGGATTCAATCTCCAGAATGACACCAAAAAACGGGGATGGGGTGTCTTTCATAATTCTGTTAGCTAAAACATCTTCTTCTGACCATGTTAAAGAACAAAAAAGTGAGTAAACAAATGCTCTTCTCTTAACTATATTTCAACAGCCCAATCTTTTCATGAGTTTTAGAAATATTTCAGTCAAAAACT